ACTTACTGACTCTAGAATACAAATACTAGAAAGAACTTTACATCACTCATCTTTTGTCACATCAGAATCTCTCATATGGTAGGAACTAAGTTTCTCTTCCTATCCCAATCTCCCATTCTTGTGCCCAGGACACAACACATAGTTAGTACCTGTCGAGTAAGTATTTATGGGTTGCTTAATCATTTGGTGGACAATATATAGGAGGCATTTAAGGAGGTGTGTGGGATCCAAGCTGATGTTGGCTATAGAAGCACTCAGCACAGTATCCAGTATACTCGATAAGTGTTATAGTCATTTTTGTTATTCATGGTAGTTATGTTCTATAAAGTCACTAAATTAGTGAATACTGAACCATCACTTTTAGAGGAAACAACGGTATTAAGTTTCTCTGAGCCTCTGGTCCCAATATTTTCATCAACTAATCAATACATAACCTTGTCTTCTATGTGTTTCTGTTTAAAGACACCTTACTTAATATATATTGTTGATTCATTAATATCGAACTCACAGCCAACAGCACTATAGCTCATGCCTGAACGAAGCTTATCTAACATACACACACACACTTCCTCTGTAAAGCACATCTTGCTCTTAGCACTTCAGCACTACACTTGGAGGCCATTTGAAACAGCAAAATCACCAACAAAAAAGTACAGCAATGTAAAAAAGCATGGAAAAATGACTTGTTTACAGTATGAGAACCGAAGCAAAAAGGCAGAAGTGCCATCAGGCACTGATTTTTTGCAACTTGCCCATGTCCATGAATGACCATGAAAGCATCACAAGTATTAATTTTGGGTTACAAGTCATTTTTAGGGAGTAGACGAATTTGCATATACAGTCTCCATGAGGATTAATTGTATATCACCCATGAATCTTTTCCCCAGAGAAAATATTTTGTTAGTACTTTGCTGTTATTTTTCCCAATCTCTTTTTCTTTATATATTTTTACATAATTGAGATCATGATGTGGATAAAATTTGATAGCCTTTTTATAACATAAGCATTATTATAGCAAATTATACAGACTTTCTATAATAATTTTAAATTGCTTTATTCTGTTTTATCATTCTATGCATACATCATTATTTTGGGTTATTTAAAAATACCCAATAAAACTTGGAGTTTTTAGCTCTTCTAAATCTGAATACCCTTCCTTTTTTAGCAGTAGCAGACGCTCTTTAGTCATCTCTTCCCCGGTTCGAACATCTACAACCTCCAGCCCTGTTACCTCACCTACCAGTCCCTCTGCACTTTCCTTGAAGAGTGAGAGGGACTCCATCTCAGCAAGTGAAGAAGAGCTGGCATCTGATCCAGCCCAGGGAGAAGACAACAGTGAGATTAAAGAAGAGCCCTTAAAAGATAAGGAAATAGAGGATGAAAAGGCTGAACCAAGCACCTCTGAGGAGGAAGAGCCTCCGCCAGCCTGCAATGGCCCCACCCAGGCCCAGCCTTCTCCTACCATTGAGGATGAGAAGTCCCAGGAGGAAGTTCCCCCTGGCTCCCCAGCTTCATCACCAGGCAGAGCCCTGATCCCTTCAGAGCAGCCTTCATCTCTCCCAGAAGTAGTCTTCCGAACCCGTACCTCAAGTGAAGGATCTGAACAACCAAAGAAGAGAGCCTCTGTCCAGAGAACTTCAGCACCCCCTAATAGGCCTCCTCCACCCAAAGCCACTTCTAGCCCCATGACCTCCTCAGGGAACATACCCTCCAGCCCTACAGCCTCTAACCAGGGTTCACCCACCAGCCCCAGGGCCTTCTTAGGGGCTGGGACTCCGAGTCCTAGGACCTCCTTGGAGGTCTCTTTTGATCCACAGCCACCAGGGAAGCCGGTAAGAACTCCTGAGGCCAGAGAAAAGGAAAACGCCACCAATCTGAACCCAGAAGAACTTTGTACTTCCCCTACCTCGATGATCCCTCAGGTGAGAATGCATGAGTATTCTCTTCTATAACCTCCATGTAGCTCATCTTTACTATAGTCAGGTTGTCCCACAGTTGATCGGATTTTATGTTATTATAGTATACTATATTATAGTATACTATATTATAGTATACTATAGTATACAGAGATACTCTTGGTCACCTTTTTTGGTTCCGGGAATTGTTTCATATCTTCATAGCAACTAATTTAGTGATCTATACTCAGGGTAATTGATTTCTGCAAAGGGCTTATCTCTAATATTATAAGCAGATTCCTACTAATTTTTTTTTTCTCTGAGTTATGGGAGTTCCAATATAAAGAAACCTACAACTGGCCTTTGTCTCAGAGATACTCTTGGTCACCTTTTTTGGTTCCGGGAATTGTTTCATATCTTCATAGCAACTAATTTAGTGATCTATACTCAGGGTAATTGATTTCTGCAAAGGGCTTATCTCTAATATTATAAGCAGATTCCTACTAATTTTTTTTTTCTCTGAGTTATGGGAGTTCCAATATAAAGAAACCTACAACTGGCCTTTTTTAATACAGGGCAGGGAGGAGGGTCTTAATTCAGTTTGTCATACATGTGACTATGGCAAATAGACCCCAAGCAAAATGGCATTAGCAAATTTCCGAGGTATATTCTCTTTGATGAGAGAAACCTAGAAGGAACTCACAGAAGAAGGAAAGCAAAAGAAATGGTCTTTAGAAAGATGAGAATATAGATGAGGAAATTGTGTTAAAATAGAGACACAGACCCCCTGGGGAGGATCTGGAAATCAAGTCATGTTCTATTCGAATTACATGGCTCTCAGAGAGAGATTCGACTTGTTCTATTAGACTCCTGAGGCCCTATAAGTAAAGATTTTTAAAAGTAAATTTTGAATCAATACAAGGAACTTTTCAGCAATTGGCTCTGTTACATAATGGTATGGAAAAGAATTTTTAAATATAGGAGAAAGGGGATACGAGGGGCTTCTAAAAACCAAAATGGAACAGACCACCTGGAGAAATAGTTCTCCTTCCTTGATGTTAAAAGCTAAAAGCGAAGAATATTAGATCACTTGTTAGGTGCATTGCGTATGGTGAGACATCTGACTAGATGGCACCAAGATTCGTTGAGTCATTCCACGTTTACTTATTGGGCCCCTACTATGTACCAGGCACTTTTCTAGCAGATGGGGTATTACAGTGAACAAAACATAAAATTGCCTTCCTGCCTCTTACATCCTAGTGATCAAGGGGTAAGATAGACAAGAAACAGAATAAATAAGTAAAATTACAATTAGTGGTGATAAGAGAAATAGAGTAAAATGAAGCAGGGGAAGGCACAGAGAGTAGGGGCTGAATTGTAGTTTTAAACAGTGGCCAGGGAAGGTGACATTAGGGTGATGAAGGAGCCCAGGACATAAACCATGGGGCTATCTGGGAGTATGAGATTTCTGGTACCCTCAGATCACACCACTCCACTACTGCCTATGCCTGACTGAAAGTTGACCATGCTACCTTGGGAGCCTCCTGCTATCTGAGAGGCATTAACATGGACAAAGGATACCAGGTGGCATCCACGGTGTGAAGATGTGAGACTTTCTCCTACATTGTCCACTTCGATCCACAGGTGTCTTCAGAGTCTGGCAAGGCAGGGAAGATGGAAGAGAAGGAAGAGAACAATAAGCTTATCTCAGCTGACACGCCTGAGGTACTGAACTCTATAAGTCATCAATATTACTATGTCCTGAGTCTTCCCTTGATCCTTGCCAAAAGGCCGAGAAGTGATTATTATGTCCTGAGTCCTGATTCACATGAGGTACTGGAGGTCCTAACAAAGCAAGATATAAAACTTTCCCTTGGCTGGTTTCTAGTCTGAGGTAGCTATGCTGATCGAGAGAGAGATGCAGGGTATGTAGATAGTGAATAAGCATAGGGTAGCTGTTGCATTTTGAATAGGCAAAGTGTAGCACTTCTCATTTTTCTGCACTGAAAAGAGTAACTCGACGGTATGGAGAATCCAAAATTAACTTAAATTTGACTTTGTAATATATGGTTTTAGTATAGAGACAGCAATAGAGTGAACTTCTGTTTGGCTGTGGCAAATAATGAAACAAATTTGCATTCTTGGAGTACTCTTATTGAAGGGGAGATTATGGGGGCAAAGATGCTGTCTGACTATTTTGAGAAACTGGCTAGTAACACTCTCCTCATTGGGAAAAAAGATACAGGACACAACCCTCCTTTCCCCTGAGACCACCTCTTTATATTTAAGATTTATAGTGTTTTCTTACTCCCAGCCTTTCCTTTGGGATTTCTTTGGTCATTAACTAAGGAGACATATTTTTCCTATGGAATTAAGCAACTAGAACATCTTAGATCCTAGCCTAACAGTCCTCTGAAGCCTATGTCCTATAAGATCTGTTTACTTCCCTTGCAGATGCATCATAAATCATATTTTCTCTTAAGCAGACTTATAGACATATCACATATAAAAATGGGTAAATAAAAAGATCACTGTGAGAAAATCTGTTCGTGCTCAGCATTTGAATTACCTGAGAGAGAATGATAACTTTCTGGGAGGTGTTATTACCTTTGACGTGATTCATGGCATGGAATCAGGGGAAAGTGTAACAAGGAAAATTTCCTTAAAGGAGAAATCACAGCATTTCAAGTGTCTGTAATGCTAACAGAAATTGGTTACACTTTAAAAGGGTAAATTTTATAGTATGTGATTTAAATTTTAATTAAAAAATAATTCATTCTAAACTGTAGAGTACCAAGGTCTTCCCTCTGGCTTAGCAATTCCTAAACAAGGCTTTCCATACCTTGGGTTCTCATCACAGAACCTAGAACTTTTCCCAAAGAAATCATTATACACTCTCTCTCTCTCTCTCTCTTTTTTTTTTTAAAGCCTGTAGCACCCGGTATTCTTAAGTGGTCTCCCATCCAAGTACTAACCAGGCCCACCCTGCTTAGCTTCCAAGATCAGTACACTGTCTCTCTTAACTGCTGTAGGTTAGTTAGGATCACCTAAATGTAAGAGCTGCAGTGCATTCTTGAGAAGGGTTAGTCTAAAAGTGGTAGGTAGTGGTTTTAAGACCTATACACCCTCACAGACTCCCACATACATATACATACATATCCATGTCACACAAATCACATGGTGTCTGATCGTGGAAACAACAATGGGGTCCAAAGACCTGGTTTTGTTACTGGCAATGAAGGGTCTGCATTGTGGGAGTCAGGAGCTCAGTCCTTGGGTCCCCCACGAAAGATTTATGTGGAGGTCCGACGCTCAGAGAACAAAGATGGGATGAAAAGTAGCAGACAGAAGTGATTTTATTAAGTAAAATAGGCAGAGTAAAGTACACTCAGAAGAAAGTCCAAGGGTTGGGGTTCAGGGTTGGGGTTTCTATGGGCCATAGGGTTTCTTTGTTCTCCCTCCATCCCTCCTACCTCAAATGGCTGAATTTTCTGCTGCTCCCTTAGACCCCCTACTCCAAGCTGGGGCCTTTGCAGTGTGTGTCCGTAGTCACACACCTGCACCATGGGAATTTTGAGGGTAGGCACATGCCCAGTTAACTAATTTTGCCCATACCAGTTGAGCACCCCCAGAGTAAGGTCATATAAGGGTCATTTGCAGTTAACTGACTTGAAGTGCTGCAGGTAGGGGAGAAAGCGGTGAGGAAGGTGCCAGGCACTATTAGGCTTTTTGGTCTGCCTATCTGGCTTGTGACCTTAGGGGACTAAGGGAGGCTCCACGAGACTGCCAGACCCCAGGTTGTATATTTTCTTCTGCTGAGCTGGTCTCATAGCCTCATTAACCCTTCATTGTCCCTCTCCCTCCTGCTCATTACTGCCTATCTACCTATCCTGTCAGTTTCCTGTCCCAGCAAGTCTTATCACTCTTTGAATCTTGGTATCTTGATCTGTGAAAGAGGATGACAGTAAAGCCTTCCCTGATGCCCTCAGGTTGTAGTGAAACAGCATTATATGTTTACCCATTGTATTGTCTCTGACCCTTGTGGACTTACAGCACAGAAGACCTTTCTAAGCTGAGAGGCTGGGAAGGGTGAGCCACCTCTCACTGGCAGAACTCTTCATTTTGTAGAGCCAAGGTCTCCAGCTTCATGACTCTGAGGTTCCCGAAGAGAGCATCATCACGGCACCTGAGCTTCAAGAAGAGGTAAGGAGGCCAGATACACAGAAAACAGGATGATGGATGGTAAGAATGGGCCCTGGGGGTGACAGAAGTTTGGCTACAGGCTGGAAGCTGCAGATAGGCTACAAGAACCCAGCAGTGAACAATATCCTTAGGGCAAAGTCAAGCAGGTAGGAGCAAGGTGTTTTTGGTGCCCATTTCCCAACACTTGGCCTTGAACCTCTTGACTGCTCACCATAGCCTTGTCTCCTAAGTATTTATTTAGTTACATATGAACTTGTTTCAAAAAGGAGTTAAAATATACAAAAGGCATGCAAAAAAGTAAATGCACAACACAAAAATATAGCAAAATAACTCAAGTATATTAGTGACAGTGACATAAAATGGTACTATGAATTAGGCAAGTACAACAATACATTTTATAAAATAAACTCACTAAGAATGTATCACAAAATTGGTTCCAGACTTTCTAAACATCCAAGAAGAAGAGAAAAATCTGATCAGTTCACTCAAGTCATGATGACATTCCTTCAGAGAACAACTGCTGCTACTAAGATAAAAAGACGAAAATTCTCTTGTAAATCCTTATAAAGAAAGAGATGATGAAGGATATAATGAACAATAGCTGCAAAAAGTCTTTACAGTAATCTCAACAACCAATTTCACATCACCTCCTTCACATAAGCCAGTATATTACATGAAATATAAGTAGATAGAAGCAAATTGGGTTTTTACCCTCCTTGAATGGTTGGTGGGAGGGCACGTGAGTATCTAATGCAATTATATTTACTTTCCAGGTATCTACAAGTCAAAGCGCACAACTCTGAAGAGGAACTGCCAAGACCTCCTCCCAGAGAAGCTCCTCACCTAGAGGGTATAAAGGTCAGAGGGACTTAAAATCCAACATTCATTTCTAGGTTCTCAAACAATATGGATGCTGGTAGTCCCTAAAGACCTAACATTAGTGGAGGCTGAGGAGCAGACTTAGGGGAGGGTGGAAGGCAGGTTTGGGAGAAGAGATTGTTCAACTCAGGGAATATTTAATTAAGATTTTAGCATTGTTATAGCATTGTTTAGCTTTGTTAGCATTAATTAAAGTAGGGCTAAAATGGCAATAAAAAGCAAAAGCATCTACGGATACAGACACACATAACAACACATATTCAGAGAATAGGAAACAAATCTTTGATTTACCACTCATTCTGCAAGACTTAAAGCCAAAAGGACATCTTTTCAGATTGTTAAATAAAGTATTATTCTATGTATGGATTCTTTATTGGATACTGGGAGTTGTCCCAGCCCAGCACACTATTCTCCACGTGGACAAGATTGATTCTACCCCAGGTTCAGAAAACTTTAGACACATACCTGATCTCCAGCTCATCCTCCCTCCTGGCTGTAACTCTTTTAACAATGACACAGGCCACAGGCTCCTCTCCTTAATCTACACCCACAATCTTTGGTTAATAAGCAAATACCCTTGGAAAGGGATTACATTTTAGAGCTGCATCTAATGGTTATAGTCTAGAACTTAATGTTAAGGATCTGAGCAGGATGGAAGAAGAAATAGAATTCCAAGTGAAGGGAAATTGTACAAAGTATAATAATATAATGGAAATGGCATGGAATTGGAAATTAGTAGTCCTGGATTCAAGTCTTATCATTTGCTTTTGTGAAAACATTAAAAACTGACTTTGAAGTCCTGCTACCCTGATAAACATACGTACACATGATGTGAATGCACATCTGTCTTTGCTTTTGTTTCTAAGAGTGATAGATGTCACCTTTTGTTCAGTCATTCAGCAAGTATTTATTGAGTGCCTGCTCTGTGCCAAGCACTGTACTATGTACTAGAGAAACGATGAAGTAAAAAAGTAAGAACTTTATAGGGACAATATTGAGTGGGGAGAAAAATGGGCAGGATTTAGCAATAGGTTGGAAGTGGACACATGATGAAGGCTCAAGTTTTAAGGAACTATTCTAGGTTAGGCTTGAGAGACTAGAATCTGATGGTGCCAATTCCCTGAAATGGTGACTACAGGGAAAAGAACATTGTATGTGGATTCTCTGGCTTCAAGCAACAAACTGACACAATTAAGCAATAAAAGACATGTTCAAAGGGTATTAGTTCATAGAGCTGAAAGAACAACCAGGCTGCAGAAAGGACAAGAACCAGCCCACAGATGTCTATAGCAAGAATGTGTGGACTGCCCCCTCTAGGCAGCTGTCATTGGAAGACTCAGCTTCAGCCACCTTCTGCCACCGTGTCCTTTCCAGATTCACATTCCCTGGAGAAAGAATCTGACTGGCCCAGTTTGAGGGGAGGCATGTTAATGTCTACAATGACAGGAAGACCAATAGCGGGGGTGGTAGTAAGGGTAGAATACAAAGAAGTACAAGGAAACTTTTGGGGTGATAGAAATGTTCTTAATTCTGATTGTGGTGATAGTTTAATGGGTGTATACATGTGTCAAAACTGATCAAATTATCATTATATACTTGATGTGCAGTTTATTGAGCATCCCATACAAACAACATAAGGTGTTTGAGAACTTGGACTTTCCAGTAGTTGCATCCATTAGGGAAATGGAAATACATGTTTGTATTTAGAAGTCATTTTTCTAAGATCTAATCCTGTTACTCTTTTATTTAAAAACCTTCAGAGGATCTCTGCTGCTATGTTGGGTAAAAGGTTGATGCCCTCCGCTAAAAGGCCTACTGCTTATATTTTAATACCTTTCCTAGAAGGCATCCCAGTCCACTGGCAGTCAGAATCACTGCTGGGAGTGATACGCCAAGGAAATTAGAAGGGTGGGGGAAATACAGGCTCCTAGCTTTCCAAAGCCCTCCATGATCTGCTTGGAATGCCCACCCATTCGTCTAGCAAAACCCAGTTCAAGCCTTTATGCTACAGGGCTTTCACTGACCCTCATCTCCTAGGAAACTGATCCTTTTTGGAGAATGTGGCAGAGAGGACTTCTAGGGACTTACAGTCAGTGGAGGAAGACAAGTACCCAAGGTAACTGCTACAACAGAGGCACAACTAAAGTGGAAAATTTTACTAAATTGTGAGCTTGATACTTCATTTGCATATGGCACTACTGGAGGATCCAGGAGGGCAGAGGAAAGGGCTGGTATGCTGAGCATGAGTAATAATTTTGTTTAGGATAGACAGTCTCAGCTAAGAACCAAATCGTTTGCCCCAATTTACAAAATGGTAAAGTTATCCAAGGGAAAGGCTAGGACTTAGAAGACTGCCGTCTTGGCAGCAGCACAAGAAGGGGCTGAAAACCAATAAAATTGGGCAGGATGAATGTCTTTTATCCCCTGTCCTGAGGCTCTTGGAAGGTGTTTTGTTTTTGTTTTGTTTTTTTAATTAGCCACCTAGCCAACATATTAATGCTAACTGCATTCCCTATGCCATGCTCCCCATCCTCATGGCCACCTATCAACTACTAATTTATATCCCTGGAGGTCTTTTGACAAAAGGATGGCTGCTTCAGTTTCTGAGGTTTAGCATTTAATCCTTGGAAAATACTGGTAGGTCACTACCACGTGAGGATTTATTCATCATCTATATGTATGCATCTCTAGAATTAATTGCAAGAATATCACCCAGTACCTGCCTTCCAGCAATTTGAAGAACAATATTGACAGACTAGGTAAGATATCCATAGTACAGTAGAATTATCCAGGATATCTAGGATACACCAAAGAACAGTACACACACTGCTGACAGTATTTATTTTATGCTAAATCGGTGCTGAGCATGTGCATATCGGATCCTATTTTTCTGCATGTTAACACTTTTAAAATGAATGGTATGTGCCAACAGGAATAAAATCACGTACCAGCAAACTTTTTATGGTTACATTTTAAAGAGAGGGGAAAAAAAAGATGTTTGCGAGAGACTACTAACCATTAAATTAAATTGTGAAAGTAAAAAAGCAAATCAGTAGAGAGTCATTTAGCCAGATGGCCTCTGAGAGTCTGTAGTTCTGATAATTTTCAATACATAATGGAATATGCTATGAGAGACCCAGATACAAGAAAAATCTCAACCTTTCCTGGAATCCATGGTCTGCTTATCAGTAAATGCAAGCAATTATCCATCTTTGGAATTTAATCCTTAGGGCTTGAATTCCCTTTTCTCTTGGATATTCTTTTATCTGAGGGCCAGGCTGATCTTTTTATTAACTTACATATGTCTTCCCTACATGTTACTTTCTTTGCCTTTCTTAGTGTGGTAGATTTCCCACACACGTCTTTCCTCTCACTGAGCCTTTAAAAATATATTTAAATAAAATGAATTATCAACTTATTCTGTTTTTTTCCTCTGTTTTTTTACCAACCAAATAACATCTTTATGAATGAGAGCAACTACCTTTCCTTATTTTATGCTCTGAGACTTTCTACTTCAGTCTCTGTTCCCCAAATGAACATGTACAATCTCTGTCTCTCTATTCATCTGTATAAATACTGACCCCAAACCTAGAGAACTCTTGACAGGAATAAAAAGTAAGCACAGAAATCTGTATCTAATTCTGCTTTCTCAGCGACCAGCCGCTCAGACTGCACCTGGGGAGTGAATGTGCTATTGGGCAGGATGAATGTCTTTTATCCCCTGGAGTTGCGGCCTTGGAAGGTGTTTTGTTTTTGTTTTGTTTTTTTAATTAGCCACCTAGCCAACATATTAATGCTAACTGCATTCCCTATGCCATGCTCCCCATCCTCATGGCCACCTATCAACTACTAATTTATATCCCTGGAGGTCTTTTGACAAAAGGATGGCTGCTTCAGTTTCTGAGGTTTAGCATTTAATCCTTGGAAAATACTGGTAGGTCACTACCACGTGAGGATTTATTCATCATCTATATGTATGCATCTCTAGAATTAATTGCAAGAATATCACCCAGTACCTGCCTTCCAGCAATTTGAAGAACAATATTGACAGACTAGGTAAGATATCCATAGTACAGTAGAATTATCCAGGATATCTAGGATACACCAAAGAACAGTACACACACTGCTGACAGTATTTATTTTATGCTAAATCGGTGCTGAGCATGTGCATATCGGATCCTATTTTTCTGCATGTTAACACTTTTAAAATGAATGGTATGTGCCAACAGGAATAAAATCACGTACCAGCAAACTTTTTATGGTTACATTTTAAAGAGAGGGGAAAAAAAAGATGTTTGCGAGAGACTACTAACCATTAAATTAAATTGTGAAAGTAAAAAAGCAAATCAGTAGAGAGTCATTTAGCCAGATGGCCTCTGAGAGTCTGTAGTTCTGATAATTTTCAATACATAATGGAATATGCTATGAGAGACCCAGATACAAGAAAAATCTCAACCTTTCCTGGAATCCATGGTCTGCTTATCAGTAAATGCAAGCAATTATCCATCTTTGGAATTTAATCCTTAGGGCTTGAATTCCCTTTTCTCTTGGATATTCTTTTATCTGAGGGCCAGGCTGATCTTTTTATTAACTTACATATGTCTTCCCTACATGTTACTTTCTTTGCCTTTCTTAGTGTGGTAGATTTCCCACACACGTCTTTCCTCTCACTGAGCCTTTAAAAATATATTTAAATAAAATGAATTATCAACTTATTCTGTTTTTTTCCTCTGTTTTTTTACCAACCAAATAACATCTTTATGAATGAGAGCAACTACCTTTCCTTATTTTATGCTCTGAGACTTTCTACTTCAGTCTCTGTTCCCCAAATGAACATGTACAATCTCTGTCTCTCTATTCATCTGTATAAATACTGACCCCAAACCTAGAGAACTCTTGACAGGAATAAAAAGTAAGCACAGAAATCTGTATCACTGGGATGAAAGGCAGAGTAACAAGAGTTCTAACCCTAAATAGGAAGTCAAGAAAATAACACTATGTGACAGGTAAGGTTCTAATGCTTTAAAGGTATTAATTCATTACATCCCCACAGTAACTCTGTGAGACAGGTGTTGTTGCAGATAAATGAAACAAGTTACTTGTCCAAGATCACACAGCAGAGCGGTTTCAAAAGCCTGTGTTTATCCTATCACATCCTTAGTCATAGAGTTTGTCATTAATTTGGAAACATTTCCTGCCAAAAAGAAGTGAGTCAAGAGGTCGCTAAAGTATGGCATTAATAGTTAAATAGAGATGCTTACCGTGTTCTAGAACCATGGCCTTGAAATGGTTTCACAGGCATTATTACTTTAAGTCCCCCATTTCAGGGATGAGGGAACAGATTTTAGAGATGTTAAGTATTTTGCCCAAAGTCACACAGCTAGCAAGCTGCGGAGCTAGAACTGTTTGAATCCAAAGTCCGCGCCTCTCCACTACCTCAGATGAATGTGGAACAAGGAAAATGCAGGTGGCGCGGCGTTCTCCCCACTTCACCTCCCTGCTTCCCAGCCCGCAGTGTGCCTACTAAGTTGCCTTATGCTCCAGGTTTCTGGACACAGACTGATTTATGTAAATGATATGTAAACCCAAGTAACTTTCCACATTTGTTGAAAATTGTGGAAAGCGGTCAGATCTCAGCCCAGGGTTCAGATCCCATGCCCTCCCGAGCCCCGGGGCGAGAGAGGAAGCGGCTCCGGATGGAGAGTAAAGTGACAATCGGAGAAGGAAAAGCAGTCTTTCCTCCCAGGGGAGCAGAAGCGGCCTGGCGGGCAGAGGGAACCTGCAGAGGGCAGTTTCTCTCCTCTTTTCCTGTCCCACCCAGTCGCCCCCACCCCCCACTCGCAGCCAGACCCTGCAGCTACTCTGCGAGTCTCTCCGCGGCTTCCTGCAGCGAGTGTCCCTCCGTGGATCTGCGTGAATCTCTGCGGTTCCCGCCCTCGTTGAGTTCAAAAGGACGCGCGGAGTGGCGCCGGCCCTTCCGCTGCAGCCCGTCCGACTGGTAAGGTGAGCACGCGGAGGAGGGGACCCGGGGAGCGCCGAGGGCGCGGCGAGCCCGGTCGCCCACGCTCACACTGCAGTCACGTCGGCCCCGGCAGGAACTGAAACCGAGAACGGCCGGAGCTCGGCCCTCGGCTGGAGCCTCCCGTCGCGGCTGCTGGGAACCGGGTGCCCGGGACTGGTGGCCTTCGGAGCGCAGCGAGCCCGCGGGGTGCTGGTAACGCTGGAGGGCTGGAGGCGGGGCCGCGGAGCAAGCCCCGACGTCGGTAGCGGTGTTGAGGGCCCCCAGGGCGCCGAGGCTTGGGCTGGGCCAAGTGGGGCTCGGCCCTAGTGGCTGGCTGGTGGGGTTCGGTAGGCTGAGCGCGGGTGGCGCAGTGGGCAATGAAGGGAGGACTGCGGGGAGCGGGACAAGCCCGGTCGACAAATTGTGTCAAGACAAAAGGCGACTGAGTACCTTCGCCTCTGGTTTCCTTTGCCTGGTTCACCCCAACCCAAAGGCATGTCCCAGCAGCCACGCGGGCCCATGAACCTGGGCGCTGGTCCTGAGTTCCCCGGCCCTCCTGACGCTTAGCGGATGGCTCCGCCTAAACTCCACGCTCCAGAACTGGGTACCTGTTACCACGATTTGGGGAAACTGGGGCAGCTGCTAATTTGCATACCTTTGCCTAACCTTTTCAGGCCTTGAGAAATCTCTTAATTACATGTGGTGACCCAGTGAAAGAATCTTGGGGTAGAGCGTTCGAAGATAATGCACCCCAAATACAGGAGGGCTCACGGATCTGCTCTTGGTATCTGCAGCCTGAGGAGATACCCAGGGAAACCAAAAGAGAAGTGTTTGGGATTAGCTCCACAGGGAAAAGAGGAAATGGGGAAGGGATTCGGAAAAATCTAGCGTCAAAGGCTTTTCTGGGATTTCCAGTTGTCTCCAGCCCCAGACAGGGACCCGCCCTGCTCATTCCTGTCTTTGTCCCTCTGCCCGCCCTGCTCATTCCTGTCTTTGTCCCTCTTCCTACAGATCTGCTTCTTCCTCAAGGTGCCCATCCACTTGCTGCAATGACTAGCCTCCCAACCACGACTTCTCCAGGAGGTAGGTGAAGGTCTTTCCCAGGTTCTCGTTCCACCCCCAGTTCAGTCCTGGAATTTCCAGAGGCCTCAGCACCAATGGGAATACCTTCCCCACCTCTCTCTGCCTGCCTCACCACCCCCACCCTCCCCACTCGGCTCCAAAGGTACTGGGAGGAAGCAGAAAGCTACTAGAGTATGTACTTCAGTGCAGTTTAAAACTGAAGTCTCACAGACCTGCCCTGGCACTACCACTCAAAACTTTGTGACCTTGAGCACTTTAAGGTCCAGTTTCCTCTTTTGTAAAATGGGAGAAATAGTACCTACCTTAATGAGATTATTTATGAGGATTAAATGAAATAACCTATATAAAATGCCTACCCAGTACAGTGTCTCATATCTAGTAAGCACTCAGTAACATTGGTTATTATTATTGGATACTTTTTAGAAACTCATCTTTTCCTGGAAAAGAATTGACTGCTTTCTAATTTCATTTTTCTGATGATATACTACAGCTTCAAAAACCCATTGTTCCTGGAGCTATGCTCAGGCAGGGATCCATCTCTCATCACATTGAGATGGATTCCCACTTTTCATTTCATAACCAAGCTGAGCTAGACAAACCATCAGATATCCATTGATTGTTTTCATTATATACTTGTTATGGTAAGGGAAGAACAAACACTTGGTTTGTGTATACACCTTTGTTTTCATATACACAATTTGCATTTGTCGTTCTCAGTTTTACTGATGTGGAAACGGGTGAGTGGTGACCCCAGGGAAAGTCTGAGACAGCGTCCTCTGTGACTAGTAATGCACACAATTCTGTTAGTTGTCTGGTGAGAAATAAGAAATGGAATAGATAGAAGTTTAGATTGGTCAGCAGGGACTCCATGAGTGGGGCCCTTACCCTTGAAGGATGGATGAAGTGTATACAGGCAAAGTGGGGTGCAGTGGGTATTCCAGATAAAGGTAATGCCCTGTGTGAAACTAGAGACTGCATTTCCCCTGAGGGGTGTTTTGGAGGAGAGGACAGAGGACCTCCAGAATAAACTTGCCCATAGGGAAAAGAGGTGAGGCTTGGGCAGCTAGCTTAGGAATTAGGACTTGGACAAAAGGGAACTATTTACATTCTTTTCTTTTTTTAAATTCATGGTAAAATATACATAATATAAATGTTACCATTTTAACCATGTTTTGGTGCGTAGTTTAGTAGTTTAGTTCACATTGCTGTGCAACCATCACTACCATCCATCTCTAGAACTTTTTCATCTTCCTAAACTGAAACTCTGTATTTATTAAATATAACACTCATTTCCCCTCCCCACAGCATTTGACAACCACCATTATACTTTCAATATATATAAATTCAACTAGGTACCTCATATAAGTGGAATCATACAATATTGGTTCTTTTATGTCTGCCTTATTTCACTTAGCATAACATCTCCAAGGTTCATCCATGTTGTAGCAAGTGACAGAATTTTTTTGTTAAGGCTGAATAATATATATATTATTAAAATTATATAATTTTATGTATATATAGTATATATGATTTATATATATAATGTATATCACTTTGTTTATCCATTCATCCATTGATAGCTACTTGGGTAGTTTCTACCTTTTGGCTATTGTGAATAATGCTGCTGTAAACATGGGCATACAAATCTCTGTTAGAGTCCCTGCTTTCAGTGTTTTTTTTTTTTTTTTTGGTATATACCCAGAAGTGTAATTGTTGGATCATGTGGTAACTATGTTTAATATTTTGAGGAACTACATACTATTTTCCACAGCAGCTACACCGTTTTACAGTCCCACCAACAGTGCACAAGGGTTCCAAATTCTCCACATTTTCATTTTTGTGTGTTTTTTTTAATAGTAGCTATTCTATTGGGTGTAAAGTGGTATCGCATTTCCCTAACGATTAGTGATATTGAGCATCTTTTCATGTGCTTATTGTCCATCTGTATATCTTCTTTGGAGAAATGTCTAGTCAAATCTTTGTCTATTTTTTAATTGGCTTGTTTAGTTGTTGTTGAGTTGTATGTTTACATTCCTAACACAACAAGTGACATGAGTGATGAGATATTTTAGGACCTATCATACAGTCCACTACCCACTGGGTCCAAACAAATGCAAGTTCAGAGACAGGAAGGGAGAAATCACGGATAGGGTGTAGGCTTAATGCTTTGAAGGATGGGATCAACTACGGCTATGCCACCCTGAACACGCCCAATCTCGTCTGATCTCGGAAGCTAAGCAGGGTCAGGGATGGGAGACCACCTAGGAATACCTGGTGCTGTAGGCGTTTAAAAAAAAATGAAGGATGGGATCATTGAGAGCTTGCCAGTCTCTTCCCACCTCCCACCTCTACCCTATCATATTCTTTTTTCCCCAGATAATCTATAAAGATCTCTTAAAGGAGCTTTGATCTCTTGGAGTGTTAAAAGTGAGGGTCGCATTATGGATTTCATGGGCTTTTGCACTTTTGCCTTTGTGGGCCTGTTCCCTCCATTAAAAATGATATATATTAAAAATTATATTTTATAACTGCTGGTATAAGGGAAAATATAACATTAATATAATAAAATAATTAACAGTTGTATTTATAATTAGTAATTGATTGACATAACAATATTATAATTTCCTTAACCTAAACATTTGATTTTTTCTTGTGAATATAAATTAAAATCACTAAAAGCCATTTTCCTGGGTCCCTAGAAGTATCTGGACCCCAGGCACTGTGCCTGCCGTGCCTAGTGCATAAGTCACCTTGTTGGAAGTAGGGGGAGTGGAACCTGGCATTGTGGGCTCTGCCTGCCCACAGGTAAAGCCTATCCTTTGCTATTTAATCACACTAGCCACTTCTTAGGTTTTACTCACTCTGAGTTAGACACTCAGCATTTTTCATCTCGCTTATTCCTCGGCGCAATCCTGTGAGCAGGATTTATTCTCATTTTGCAGAAGCAAAAACTGAGGTTCGGGGAAATTAAGAAATTTTCAGAGAAATTAAGAAAGTCTCCCAAAGTCATATGGCTAATAATGGCAGAGGCAGAATTTTGTGCCAAGTCTGATTTACTTCAGAGCCTGTGTTCTTTCTGTCATGGTACACTGCTCTCAAAGTCTCACTCCACCCCACTGGCCACTGCACATGAAAGAGAAGGAAGGAGAAAGGGAGCAGAATTCCAGGGCAGGTTCCCATGGGAACGAGAATTGGGGGAGCCGCCCTGTGTTGGGCAGGTCGAGAGCAAATAAGTAGGTTGGTAGACTCAGGTGGCAAATGATCTGATGCCTCAGTGATAAGAGATTTAGGGAACAAGGGCCACAAAGAAACTAACTGGTAACTGGGTTAGCGCAAAAGAAAAAAAAAAAAGAGTGAGTGAGCAAAACAAATCTTGAAGTTCATTTGCTGTTGGTTAGGATTTGGGTGGCGCCTCAGACCTTATTGTGATCCTCCGCCCCGGGCCTCCCACCAGAAAAAAAAAAAATGGTACTATAGTCTTTCCAAGCCTGAGAAGGTAAGGAAGAGAGTAACATTATTCTTTTGTTGGACTAGGAGATAAGAGAGAAATGGGGTAGAAACGGGAGATAATGGGGGCAAGCTGTAAGCCATTCTGCCCCTTTTATCTCACGCTTAGTGGTTTTAGTTTACTTTGTTGTTATAGTTGTTGTTTGTTTGTTTTTTCATTAAAAAGCTATTCCACGCCCTGCAGGGAAAAGCCTTCTAGATCTTGTGTGTGTGTGTGTTTGTGTGTGTGTGTGTGAGAGAGCACGTGTGTCTATAGTTTTATTTTAATTTACTTTTTTTTTACAAACATGTAATCATATTACACGTACTGCCCCAGCAATTTGCTTTTTTCATCTCACCATATGTCTTCTCCCAGTAATTGCAGATCTACCACATTCTTCCTAACAACTGTATACTGTTTCCAAAATGAATGGCCTGTAATTTACTTAATCACATTCCTCTGCCGATGGACATTCAGATATGTGTCACTCTTGCAAACATTGCTATGGTGAACAATCACCCTTTCACCCTTTCCATCTGCTATAAAATTCAGGGAACCAAACCCAGTGGACACATAAACAAAAAGCTTCACTGGAAGCAGAGCAGGATGTTTCCTGAACTTAGAGAGTTACTTGCTAGTGTATGGTAGAAAGAACCTTAGGATGAAGAGACAGATTTGAAACCAGGTTCAGACAACCGCTGAGTGACCTTGGGCTTGCTGAGCTGCTTCAGTTTCTTGGCTTGTATGTAATGATAACACCAAAACCACTTACATAACATTTTTGTGGTAGAAAGAAAATAATGTATATTTTGTAAACTGTAAATCATAAACACAGATCATAATTCTGATACTTCAAGCCTGAAGGGCCCTTGCTCATCAGTTCTCAGAACACTCTGTGACCTTTCGTCTGAGAAAAGCTCTTTGGTGTGGAGTGGAGTTGAAAATTTTAATTTTTTTTTTTTTAATTTAATTTTGGAATAAATTTAAATTTATAGAAAAGTTGCAAAAAATAGTACAGAGAGTTCCCGTTTACCCTTCAGCCATTTCCCCTAATGTCAGTATCTTCCATGACCATGGTATATTTGTGAAAAACCAGAAATTAACATTAGTACAATACTGTTAACTCCAGACTTCGTTGAGATTTTGCCAGTTTGAAAATGTGATTTTGAAGTGAATTCAGGTGCTCACTTCAGCAGCACATATACTAAAATTGAAGTGAATTTGGATAGAACACTTTCAATTTATAAAAATTTCATAAATGAGACTGAAAAGGTCCTGAGAGTCAGCTAGTTCAACTACCCATTCTGTGCTAGAATTCTCTCTCTAGTGCCGGAAGCATTTGTCCAGTTCTGCCCTCCTTTCTGTTGGAGAAGACATCTGTCTACCATTAGTTTCTGCCATTTGTATAGCTCATCCATTGGCATATTTGAAGATAGCATTCAAGTTCTAGGCTACCCTTAAGTTTTCTCTCTGGGCTTCCTCTTGCAAGCTTTTCTTATCTGATGTGGTTTCC